GGATTTATTTGCAGGGATTACTGCCCAAGTACAAACGCGCATATGATATTAATGTCTGCATATGAATACTGTTCAACTCTGTATTTATGTATTTATTTATACATGCATTGCACTTTATCTATATTTTTAATTTTCTGACTGCCGGAGGTCTTCCACGGAAGCTACTCTCAACCTGGCGTTGGGGGCAGCCTACTACCCTACCTCCCCCTTACCCCATTGCATATGGGAATTGGGTTTTGTTGTTGTTGTTGTAGGGTTTAGGGATTTTAAAAGATTGATGAAGGATTTTTTATGTTTTGATGTTAGTGATTAATCCTAAGGCATGTATGATGATTAAAATTAATTGTTCATGCTATATGATATTCGGCCATGCTACGATTTTAGAGAGTGATTGGATTTTGATTTAATTTGATGTTATTATGATTAGAATGGCATGAATATGATGTTAGGAAGTTGAATTCATGCTTGAAATTGAATGAAAATCATGCCTAAAGCTACTTGAAATATTCGGCCATATGAAGAAATTAGGGAAAATTATGGAAAAATTCCCTATGGTCTACAAATTATATTAGAAGTATTTTATGAGACTTGGAGATCAATTTGGATCAAGTTGGAAGATTGAAATAGAAAAAGGGTTAATATACAAGTTTTGAGAATTGTGGGATATTATTGCAAGAATGTGATATTTGGAGGGTTCAATGCTGATTTAATATTTGAAAGGCTGAAAAATTAAGTTATAAAGTTGGTTGGAACCAAATTACAAGTTTGACAAAGTTTAAGGTCAGAATTCAAAAAGTCCCAAAACTTCAAGGACTTGTTTGTTACTTTGAAAACATGTTGGTATTATTTTGAAATAAGAAATAGCAATGCTGGAAATTTTAGTTATATCCTGATTTTTAAGTTTAAATATTGAGTTGTGATCAAATTTCAAGTTTATCAAATTGAGTGGTTGAATTTGAAAAGTTAAGAAAGTTTGGGATGAAATTGCAAGGTTTTGAATGTTAAAGTATTAGTTGAGAATTTTATTAAGGCACTGGAAATTTTATAAATTAAAATGCAATGATCATAATGGTGAAGGATCATTATGAATTTAATGGAAAAATTAAGATAGTTTTAGAAAGAATTTATAATTAGTGACTTCATTGTGTAATTGGCAAAAGTTGAAGGATTGATAATGGAAATAAATATTTATGGAATTTAACGAATACTTTGAGAAGTTTGAAATTTTGAGGGAAGTACGGTTTAGTTTTATATCGATTTAAGTATCGATTTTGTTTCTATCGAATTTTATATTTAAGCTTAGATTATGTTAGTTCGATACTAACATATAGTTTGAATATTTTATGTTATTGTATGATGTTGCCAGACCAAGATAAATCTAGTGAACCAAGTAACTCGAAAGGGAAGGAAAAAAGTACGGGATTGAGAAGATTATTGTGAAGAAGGTTCGATAGTAAGGCAAAGGTAAGTGCATTTAATTTGTATTTATGTTATCGTACAAACATTGGCTTGTGATGAGCCACTGACGGAGTTACTACGGTAATAAGTAACTCCTAATGTTATATGAATTGTGGTTCAATCCTATATGTTCATTTGGTAAGCTTATAGAATTATGGAATCAGTTAAGGATGCTAATTAAAGAAAGTTGTCTAAATTTTTTTATTTGAATAGTGAGTTTATAAAATTTACTATAAATTATGAAGAATTGATTAGAGGACGATCTTATACCATTGGATTCGTATGTCAGTATAGTTTCATTTACAATAGACGGCTACTGATTTTGAGCTGTATACGAAAAGATATAAATTTTTAATCGATAATAGATCAGAAAACAAGGTCAAAACAGCTTCTGTCATACAACTTTGCAAATTCGTTATAAATTGTACAAGTTGAACTAGAAGAAGAGACATATATGGTTAGATTCGTATTCGAGTCTAGTTTTTAGTGGTATTAATGGAATAATTTTTAAGTATATATATTAATACAAAATAATTTTTCTTTGAAGATAGTGTAAACTGCCAAAGCATGAAATTTTGATAAAATTGGATAGTTGAAGCATTTGAGAACAAAGGATTAATTCTAAAGCATAGTGAGGCTTATGTTTTAATTTATTAAGTGTCAAAGTGAATGCAATTTTTTTATTTAGTTATTTTGATTGAGGACGACTTGTGATAAGTCAACATTGTATTATTTAAAGTATGATTTTATATCTTAAGTACGAATGATTTTCAACATGTTTATACATGTTTTAAGAATGTTTAGGGTACGAACTACCCAATTTATAATTTTTATGAGAATGTTTGAAAATTGATTATCAGTTGAAATATTGATTATGAAACGAACAAGATATAATCGAAAAGCCCATTGTATATTGACTTGAGAGTCGTATGTACATTTGACATGTCATTAAGTGGGTACTTATCAGTTATTAGTTCAGCTATGGTACATTTGTGTACCCTATGATCAGTACCGTTGGTAAATAGTTTATGGTTGCACTTAAGTGCATCATATCTCAGTTCAGTTATGAGTGGCACCATGATGTGTCTAGTGCACACCTTACTCACGTACCTTGTGTTCTCATAAATATGCATTCACCTATGAAAATGAATATGAATGTTATGATTGACATTTCAGTTAACAGAAATCATGATATGAATATTTTATCAGATATTATTATTCATAATCATTATGAAAGGATTATGAGTTGTCTATGATATTTGATATTGATTTACATGATTTTGATAAAATCATGAGATGTTGACTTTCAAGTTTTCAGAAGAAAATCAATTTGAATAGCACGGTTTGAAAATTTTAATGTTTTATTTAAATTATAGTTTTATGAAATATTATTTTATAAAATTCATGTTTTATATCACTTCAACTATGTTTGGTCTCACAAAGTTTTACTTAGCGTGTGATGATTTTCAAGCGTAGGTTTGAATAAAGAAAAGGGTGTGAAGGAAGGTGTTTGATAGCATCTTATGGAAATCAATCCTATCGACAGTATCAGTAAGATATCCTACTTTTGATTTATTAGTGACATGTATGTTATATTTGTTGGGTTGCTTCATCAGATTTATTTTAAAAAGGGTATGTAATAGTAATTTTAGGACTGTTTTAATTTTGGTAAATATTAGCTATAATCGTATATATGAATGAATATTATATATGAATGAATATTATAAACGGTTATAAAATGGTTTTAAATCAAGAAATATTAGGCAGTTGTATATAAATATGATGTAACACCTTTAACTCATATATTGTACTCTTACGAGTTAAAGATATCACATCAAATATTCAAAACATTTTATAACTCAAAATAGGTAAAATCTGGTTTCTTTCACAAATTTCACATTTGTACATTTATTATTAAATAAATAATCAGATGAATTCAAAATGTAATATTTAAACTCCTAATTCAAATCCAATCTCAGGTAGTAACAAGCCGTTATGCTTTATTCATATATTAAATAAAACTGTCTAATTTAAAATCCCATTTAAAATACCTTTTAAAGCATGATTTAGTATCATAATATATGTTTATATTAAATTATATTTAATATTAACCATGCTTCTAGTTTGCAAACACTTTTTACTCGTATACATGTCGGCTAGAAAATTTTGAAACACAGTCTGATGTCATTACTATTACCTTTAAATATTCCTTAGTGATCATGCCAAACTCAGCTCCTTACTCTTTCCGCTTTGATTTACCTATGCGTGAAAATCATCACGCTAAGTATACACTTAGTGAGGTAATCAATATAAATATATTCAAGGCAATGCAACACATAGATGTAAACAATAATAACATTCAATGCATTATGACCACTTTACCTATATTTCCAATCATGCTACTAATATGAACATGATATGAATCACATATAAATTTCTTACCAATATACTTGTCATGTATTCCATAAGCTCATAAGTTTATTCACTTGTTTATCATTTATTAACCAATAAACCATAGTTCAAACTTACCCCTATGAAGACCATGGGTATTCTGAGTCAAAAATGCACCGAAGTGCTTACTATATGCATTGAGTGTCCTTACACACCACAGTGTTGCACTGGGCATCCTTACACACTACAATGTTGTACTAAGTGTCCTTACATACTATAGTACCATATGCACTAAGTGTCCTTACACACCATAGTGTTGCACTAAGTGTCCTTACACATTATAATGCTAATCTGGTTATACAGTTGATAGACTCTATGATATGCCAATTACACCTTGCCCTTCAATGACTTACTTGGGCATATAGTCTATTTTATTTGATCCATCCATGGCAAAGTATACTATCATAATTTAACATTGGACAGTTCATACCTGAAATTCCATTCATGATAAATATCATATATGTTCATAATAAACATCATATGTAACGATCAATGATCAATGCATTTTATATTTAACATTTGACATATTTAGAATATGTCAAATATATGATGATGACATAAATATCATGCCAACATAAATAAGGTAAACTTATCACAAGTTCTACCGATGATGTATAAAACATCCATGTATACTGTTATGCATGCATTGCACTCACTTTGACATTATATACAAGTCAAAATATACGTCTCACTAAGCTTTAACTTGATCGTTTTCTTCTAATTTGGTTAAATCCCAAAATTTATCATAATTCCATATCCTAACAGTTTGCATTATTTTTAAAGAAATATTATTCTGTATTAATCTACATACTGAAAAATTATTATGTTTATATCACTAGAAAATAAATTCGAATACGAATCTAACTATATAACGCATTCCTTCTATTTTAATTTGTACTATTTATAATGAATTTTCAAAGTTAAACAAAATCTATTTTTAGCAAAATCAGTTGCCCCATTTTTTTGACCTATTCTCGGTTAAATTTTTTTATCTTTTTTCTATATACATCGATATTAAATTAGTCATGTGAAACTTCAACATCTTCATAATCATATTCGACTCGTCGAAACATATTAAAAAAGCAAAATCATTCGTCTCATAGCTTTCGTTGCTCTATTTAAATCCGTGCTACATCAGTCAACTAGACCGAGTTAAAAATGCACTCAAAATTCCCCATACACGCACCAATACACATCATAATGTTCATTCACGCTGGCTCTACATGCATTTTGCCAGGTAGGGTTTAATATTACACATTATTAACTTCCTCCTCTATTCCAACAACATTTTACAACATCAGCGAAGAAGGGATACACTACTACTACATACTAACCTACCATTGAGCTCCCTGAATCACTACTCCACCAGAAGCTGACTGAAAAACTCGTCGTCATTGATCGCACATAATGCCACCATTTAGGTGGGATATAAAGCATTTCTCCTTCCTCTAGGATGCAGTCTATGAATTCTAAGTCACGCACCTTCGGGAACTCCACCTCATCTATGTTGTCAAGATCAACCTACATTTCCATACTTTTTTTGTCAGTGCTCGTCACTAAAGCTTTTCACAGAATCAGGAGAAAGAGAGACAGAAGCCAGTAAAGAAGTTCCATAAACAGAAGGCCTACAGAGAGCTCTAGATGAAATCCAGAAGTAGTTCACTGCCTTCTTTCGTCCCAAGAAGCGGCATTAGACGTTACAGCTTTAACATTTTCATAATGGTTAAGCAGGTACCTGGCTAGAATTGCAGAGCATAGTTTCGCTGTATGGGTAAAGCTCCTCAGAACATGAAGCAGAATAGAGTCTCACATACTTTTTACCAACAACCTAAACATAAGGAACAGAATATCGATCGAGATTAAATCCATAACAGATAGGACTAAAGTAGATCATCCACCAACAATGCGCATAGGAAATGCAGCAGCACAAGGGTAATGAAAAATGCCAGAAAACAGTTTCAATTACTTGTTATGAAAAAGGAAGTCTGTGAGAGTCGAGCATGTAGAGAAAGGTGAATTAGTATAGTTATTCGAGTCAATACTCGTGAAGAGAAGCATAAGTCAATAATCACCAATGAATTATGGGTGCTCTTGAACATCACAACTCAAATGCTACATGCCAACTTAACACACTTTTACCCCTTTCCTAATGAAGATGATAGATTGAAGGGTCCTTAGGAGCCAAAAATCAAACCACATCTTTTAATTAGCAGTCTGGACATCCAATTTTGCACACAACTATAGCATAATAGCAATATGTAACAATGTTGATTACGATTACTTCCCTGATTAAGATGATTTCCATGATGGAATCATCTCTTTAATACAGCTCATTTTAAGGAGCCCTTGAGTTGCTGTTAATCATAATTAAGTAAAAGAAAAGGAAATTCATTTTTTTGACTCATCCCGTAGGATTGTAATTAGTCATTTACAAATCTAAATTGGTTCTAGGCAATCCCAATTTAATGCCTACTATAGACACGGGTGCATAGGAAAGATGAGACAAGCTACTGCATCTATTATGATCTAAGCTCCAAAACAGAAAACAAACTCAGGACGTATTAAAGCAGTTTGTAGATTCATAGTTCCCCCAATCTCAAGACGTATTAAAGCAGTTTCATGGAACCATGATTCACCTTATCATTTGTTAGGAATAATCAGTTCATGCCAATACCTGAGCAAGTATATTATGGTGTGGATCATGGTGCAAAGGTGTCACTGTCCCAGCTGGACCAAACCATGCATTCAGAGATCTCAGCTCCCCACCACCAGCATAACAATACTCAGGAATAGAAATGTCCTTCCGTAAATCATTTATCTGCCATTGTAACAAATAACATAACAGGCCTTCTGTACAAAACAGTGATATTAGATCTTCCGAAGAATACATATAAGAAAGAGGATATTAGTACCTGATCAAACAATTGGTGCTGTGCAAGATATGTGGGGACCTTACTAGTACAGCCATTCGATTGAACCCTCTCAAGAAACTCGGAAAATGTAATAAGATCTTGCTTCCAATCTGAACATAAGTAATTTTTTCCAACCTGAAAAGCATTCCAAACTTTACCAGTTTCCTGTTAAAATACGAAGTAATGCATTCACTGCAATTATTATTGCCAAAAATAAATGAAAAGAGAAATGGAACTATAGTTTTCAATAATAAAAACTCGAATTTTTAGTGACAATAACTAGGCAGTGAAGTTAAAAAACAGTTTTACAAAATTCTAAAGACTTCATTTTTTTGGCTCCCAAATCCCCAGGTTCCTTCAATTAACCATTTCCTTTTTTAAGGTAGTTACCAATAATTTTCTACAGCAAAAGTTTCTAATACATCAATTCCCTTTTATTTTGAAACTTCCAAATGCTTTTAAATGATAAGAACTTATAGACCCAACTACAGTAGTCCTTCTCTGAAAGATTTGTACACCAAAAGAAAGATCTGAAGCTTTTTGTCCATTACGATAATTAAGAATAATCTTATGGCCTGGAAAAGGATTTCATTCTCATATTCTTTTCTCACAAAATTGCTTGAGAACTACACATGATCACATAATAAGAAAAACAACCTAAGAAAAGCCATATGGTAACTCACAGTAAGGAAAGGTTAGGTTAGGAAAAAGTTAGGAATAAAAGCAATAATGGCTACATCCACCAAGGATTAATAATCAGTTGGGATACACTAAGAGATCAATCATTCAGTAACCTTACAATCAGTAATAACTCTCAGCCATGTGACTCTTGGCAGGTGCCTAAAGATGAAGTAAACTAATTACAAGGCCAAAAAAGAAACAAAAGCATAAGGACCTTTAACCTATCAGTAGCTCATTTAGCTTATGACAACAAAAATTGTCTTGAAAATCAAACTAAAACTATCACAATGTATAATACAAAAGACGAGTTGCAAACCACATTAGATTACCAAGATTAGCTTAAATGCTGGGAGCAACTCGGTAACAAAGACATTCTCAGTTAAGTGACTCAATATTGTTTTGTTAAGTACATGTACCATGCTGTGGACCAATCCCAGATCAGAGAAACACCTAAACTTCAAATTATGTAGAAGAAAATAAAAAAAGGACTATTTTAGAAAACTATATATGTAGCTAGGGGAAAAGCATATGCATATTTCAAGAAAACAGAATATAACAGAGCATAAGTTACAAATCTGATCAAAAAAAGAAAGGAAAGGAAGATTAATCACCTCAACCGGAACAGTACGATCACCAGCAACCCCTCTTAAGTAATCCATATCATTCCACCTTGTCGTGGCTGGCCAGTGAGCCATGCAATCAGTAATTATAACTGGAGAACCCGAGAGGAAATACTCACATAGAAATGCCTCTAGAGATAGGGCGGACCTCTTCGCCACAATCTTGGAAGAAAGTGACCTTATTGGCAAAATTTGTAGTACCTATAGGATCAAAAGGAAAAATCATCAGTGATTAAATTCAGATATCATACAACTACACCAGCTTCTCTTTACCAGAAATATACCAACCATCCTGTTCATAAAATAATAAATCAACAAGAACAGGAGCTAGCAACATGACAAAATGACATAATGCATGTAATGAATATATATAAGAACTAAAGAAATGGCAAATGGTAAAGTTTCCCTATTTTCACTTTGAAGAATAAATACTAGATATTAAAAGAATAGACAACTACAACTTCCAAAAGTTGAATACCCTTGTGGAATTCTCAGGTGTGAGTGTGTCTTAAAAAGATTTTCTCCGCCCTTTGTCTTGTGAGCATGTGTCTGTACATCATAGTTATGCTTAAGTTTTTTACAAAATAAAAACAAGAAATAGACTGCAGTATATTATAGAATCAGTAAAGCTACTGGTGAATTCCTATACTATAGGTTTAGAATCAACCAGTCTCTCTATATAAAAGTGAGCAATTTAGTCATTCTACATTTATTTTGAAGCATATACAAGGTCAAATGTTACAAAATGCAGACTTATTATGTTTTAAAGTGAAATAGAAAAAAGACAGAAAATGTTAGTCATTCTAGTGTTTTAAAATGCTGAATTTTAGATTTTACTTTTTTCCCATGACATTTTAAAATTTAAACACAAGTTAGCATTTCTTTAACATTCAAGATTACTGCCATTTAAAATTTTACCTCTGCTTCAAAATTAACTGTTTCAGCCGATAGTACAGGGACTTGTCAAGTAGTTTAACAAATAGAATTAGTTTAATGATGAGTTACAGAAGAAAATCTAGATACTTGTAACTGTCAGCATCAAATCCAAATTAACCACAAAGATAAGAAGGGAAATTCCTATTGATAATATCCTCAACGTTTTAGCTCATTGAAGGCATAAGCATAAATGAAGCAGTAATCAAATCATCAATATGAACTCAAGGAAAAAAAGGATGTTATAAATAGTATTCATCTATACTACATATAATATCATCAATTAAGCAAAGTACAGAAAAGAAAAAAGAGCAAAATGTAAGTTATAATAATAACATGAATTCAGAGGTCTATAGGTCCTGTAACTTTGGAGGAATATCTACCCACTAAAAAATAGTCATATTTTTGTTCTTATACTTCTTTAAAATAACAAAAATACTGAATTATGGTTTACACACAAAAAGGAACCAAAGCTAAGAGAGTTGCCCGATTTCAACAGATATACACAAAAATGATGATCATACAGAGAGAAAAACAAAAGGAAATAAAAAGTAAACCAAACCAAAAAGCTCAAAGATCCAAGACGCTTATGTAGTACAAGTACAACGAACCGGATGACCTCTAAACTCACATAAACAAGAATAAGAAACTCAAAAGTGATTCCACATTTGAGCATTTTCTTTTTCTTCCAATAATTTAATGAAGCAATATGTTCTACAACATCCACAAGGGGATTGAACACACACACACTATAATCAATTCCCAGAAGAGGGAAAAGGCATTAGATCTTCATTTGGTTTTTGAGTTTTCTACCGAAATTTTATTTGATGAAAAGCAAAAGCAAATAGTAAAGTTCATAATCTTTTTCAATTAAAAAGAAAATGTAACATACATTTGAGTATAATTCTATCATGCAAAAGGAAAATATACCAGATTATTCAGATATCGGTGGTTATACCAAAAATATATATCCTAGCATGCATAAAACACACTTTTGGTTTCAATATCAAAAGCCATAGCCACAAGGAAACTACAATAAACCCCAAACATAACCAATTAACATTTTTACTATGTTTAATATTATCATAAATATTAGTATTAATTCATGATTAGTCAAAATAATATTATAACAATTGGATTTTCAATTGAACGAATGTGAATATATTGCATGCAATTTTCTACCTAGAAATATCACCAGACTTTAAAAAGTTCCGACTTCATAAGAACAAGCAAGAGTTTTTTCACCCTTTTACAGTAGAAAACGAACCTTACCTCGGACTTATCGAATTCCCGTGGAGGAACCAGTAATCCAGACCTTGCATTTTCGCGACCATTATTATCATGAGCTATTCCGTTATGATACTGCCTGGACTTGGCGGCCGAAACGGCTTCGATTGCGGAGTCCAAATCCTTCCTAAGCAAAGGACCGCCCATTATGATCCCCAAGTCCAAAGACCTAAGAGCGTCTCTGAACTCGCCATTCGAGAAATGGAACTTGGCCACGTGGAGGCACGCCATGGAGTAAGCGTCACGCCAGACGGGGAGAACAGAGTGCCAAGGGCCAGAGTGAAGCTGCTCCCAGGCCATCTCACACGCCGCCTCGGCAGCTCGTTGGTCACCGGCGGCGGCTAATGTGGCCATGCGGGTAAAAGCGTAGCCTCCGTGAGAGGTTATGGATTGGAGGAGGGCGGGGGACTCGGAGTCCAGCGTGGGTGTTGAGATGGCGGCGGCGGGAGAGTACATGGGTGCAGGACGGCAGTTGAGAGTTGCAGATAGGGGTATTATTGGGGAGATAGTTCGGCGAGAATGCTCTTTTTAATGATTAGTTGAGACTTGGGAGGAAGATATTTGAAGAGATATTTATAGTTCAATTCAACGCTCTTGCAATCACTTTTTCTTCTTCTTTCTAGAATCTACGATTTCTTATTGAATAAATGCGACAAGATGTCGTGATTTCTTTTTCTTTGAGTTTATTATATATGTTTTGACAAGAAGAGTTTATTATATCTTTTTATTATTTAGTTAACAGTTAAATATTAATTTAAATATAATAAAATTTATTAATTAATTTTAATTTATAATTTTTGTATGACACGTTAATTTTTTTTTATAAAACACGTTAAATTTAAATTGACAATTAGTATTTAAATTGATTGTTAAATCGAAAAAAGATAAATTAAAACGATATTAGTTACTTCAAATATTTTATCATTTGAAGTTTTAAATTAAACATAATTTAAGAACATGCATTTTTTTATGATTAATTTAGGGTAAGTAGAGGTGTTATGGTTGGTTAGCCATATCGTTTGATCTAAACGGTCGATTAATCGTTATAACGGTTACTAAATTTTGTTAATCTTAATTTAACTATTAAGAAACGATTAACCACTAATGATTAACCGATATTAACTGTTCGATCAAGGATAGACCTTGGAGGGGCGGTCACTTCCTAAAAATATAAAATTACAGTATATTTTAGATTTTCTATATGTTTTCTATTAAAAAATCTATTTTCGCCCCCTCTAAAATTTTATAAGTTCAAGTTCACCCCTAACTTAAAATCATGCATTCGTCCCTGAGTTTTGATTATAGGTTAAATTTAGTTTAACCTATTACAATTTTTTTAAGACAAAACAACATGAAAGTTTCAAAGTTTCATAAACTTTACAAAGATATAAAACATATATATTTATGAAAAAGTTTACTTATTTATAGATGCATTTTATTTTGGCTTAATTATAAAACAAGTGCCCTAACTATATCAATTGTCCTCAAATAGGCGCCAAAACTATTTTTTTGAATCATCTAAGTTCTAACGTTACAAATGTTACCACTTTAGGTGCCCTAGCCATAACAACCGTTGAATTTTTCCGTTAAGTGACATGTGTTGAGTTTAGATAATTTTGAAATTAAAAAAAACCTTAAACTGTTTTTAAAATTTCAAAAATATTAAAAAATCTCAAAGCTTTGAAAACCCTAATTTCAATTCTTATACCTATGATGAATGTCGCCCTTTGCTGCCATTGCCACCGGTCAAACCTTCGACCAACTAAACCTCCACTTATGACCCTGTCAATCTATAACCCAACCAATTGGCAAACCCTATTGATGAATCAAACTCAACGAACCCCCAATTGAGGCGACACGACGACTCTGATGGCAACCACGATGGCACAGATAAATACGGCTGGCAAGAGTGGCGGTTGCGACTATGGTCGGCAAGGGTGAATGTAAGTTTAAGGTTAGAGATTTTAGGGTTTATTTTTAGGGATTCTTATGGATTTGGGACTTTTTTGTAATTTTAGGAAAAATAGGATTTTTTATAAATATGATATTTTTTATTAAAAATAAAATTGTCAGAGCATGACATGCGTCACTTAACGAAATTTTTTAACAATCGCTACGCCCCGAGCACCTAAAATGATAACGTTTGTAACATTAGGCACCTGATGATTAAGAAAAAAGTTTGGGCACCTATTTGGGACAAATGGTATAGTTTGAGCATTTATTTTATAATTAAGTATTTTATTTTTATAAAACATATATATTACGAGATATATTCATTTTTTGTTCAATTTAAAATCTTACGTGCATATTTATAAATTAACATATTTACTAAGATCAAGTTTAAAGTTTAAACCATATATTTTTTTTATCTATGTTCGATTTAATGTGCTATGATATAAAATAAATGTGATAACTAAAAAGTAAGAATGAACCATTTGGTTATATTTCTAATTTCATTTTATTTAAAAAATATAATTAATTTTAATTTATTAATAGTTAATCATTTATTAAAAATTTTAACTGAATATTTTTAACGGTTCTATTAACTTAAACCATTTAATCTTAACGGCTCAATTAATTAACTTGTACAATCTAACAGTTACACGGCTAATGGTTATGGAATATTTTGAACACCCATAAAGATAAGTACAAGATAATATATACAAAAATATAAATCTCAACCATTTATCATTAAACGCTCATACTTGACATTCATGGCACTCAAAGAATGTGTATTTTCTTACACAAATAGCATTCTATCTTTTTCTTTCATAATATTAGTGAAATGGTTGTCCCTTTTTCCCATATGTATGGGGTAAGGGGGAGGTAAGATAGTAGGCTACCCCCAACACCAGGTTGATAGCAGCTTCCGTAAGAGACCTCCGAATTATGAAATGCCCTCCGTGGGACTCGATCCCACGACCTCAAGGTTAAGAACCTTGTGCTCTATGAGTTTTTAATAAATCAAATTTAAAGAAAATATCATTTATGATAATAATATCCTCTTTATCATTTAAACAAATGTTATCTTAAAAAACTTATTTAGAAATATAATCTTTTTATAAAGACGTGTCACGTGACATATATATTAGAAAAATGTTTTTACAAGATTATATATATATTTGACAATAAATATTTAATTACTCTGCTGTAGTCGTTAGTACTCGAACTCGTAACCTTTATGAACAACAACGTTTTCTTTAACCACTGAGGTAAGTTGGTTCATGATATGTGTTTCATATTAATTATATTTAATCATAGTATTGATATGTGTTTGATCACATTTAAGATATGCTTTTAACAGTTTAAAATCAACAAATTTCTATCAAATATCATATTATTTATATATATACTTTTTCTTTAAATATATTCTTTTAAATACATATTTATCAAGTAATTGAAGACTAGATTTATACATGTAAGGGGAAAACGTTTTCAAATATTTAAATATTTTAAGATAAAAAAATATCTTATTTCTAATTATTTAAATTTAATTGTAAATAATATTAATATTAAAAACTACATTAGTAAAATGTATCCCATCATCAAAATATCTGCAAAAGTCGAACAACATACACGAAACGGCCCACCTAAACACAAACAGTCCAAAAGTGGAGCAGAAGAAAATATCTGCAAAAGCAAGTGCACACCGCAGTGGAGTGGACGTAATAGCCATCGTTACAAATTCAGAGACGATGGTTAATGTGATATGATATGGTGCTAGACGTCGATTTATATAATAATAATAATAATAATAATTTTATCTCTTATTTTTATTTAATTTTTAAAAAATAATTTTCAATATTCTAATATTTATTTTTAATTATAAATGAATATTGAATCAAATTAAATTGAATATATCTAATAAAAAATAATTAAGATTATAAATTTTGAATTAATTAATACAAATATGTTCATTTAAAAATATTTTAATTTCTATATTATTTTTTATAATAGACTTAATATAAAAATAAATGCTTAAACTTTACCTCAAAAAATGATTTGGTGTCTAAAGTTTTATCAGTTACACTTTTAGACTCCCGTTATATTTTTTAGTTTTTTAATAATAAAAATATTATTTTTAATAAAAAAAAGAAAAAATTAAAAAAACTTATTTTATTTACAAAAGAACTCCAAAATTTAATGAAATTATAAAAAGACACTAAATTTTTTTTTTCATTTCAACCCGTTACCAACCGTGAAACGCCGGAGGAGCACCGACGGAGCGACGGCGAGGATGGGTTTTGAGCAGAAGGAACTACACGGTGGTTCGAATGGTGGTGACGACGTGGCTTATGGACGTCGAGATCGGTCGGAATCAATGAAAAACAACGATATTGGCTTAAAATCCAACGAACCTTCGAAAGCTTCTCCACGGCAAACGGTGGCAACTTACGGCGAAAGGCCAACACAGGTTTGATCGGGAGTCAACGCCAGTGCTAACACCGGTGGAGGTGACGGTCACGACTGGCTGGACGGAGACCATGGAAGGGGGAAAAGGGGAAGGGAGGATAAAAAGAAATGAAGGTGCTTCTGCGCGAAGATTTTTTTTAATAAAAATGTTTTTATTTTTAAAATTTTTAAATTAAAAGAGTTCGACACAGTCACTTAACAACTAAATTTAACAACTGTTACGGTCCAGGCACTTAAAAGTGCTCCGATAAAAACGTTACACCTAATTTCAGCGAAAAATTCTTTAGACACTAAAACACTTTTTGATGTAAAATTTAGGCACTTATTTTTTGTATTAATCCTTTATAATATTACAACACTGATTATTTAATTTAAATCTCTCTCTCTATTAGATTATATTTTCTTGTATATTTTTACATTATCTCTTAGGTCTTGGATTAAATTAAATCGTTTTACGTATCCAATTCTATCATTTTACAAAGAAAAATGATTTGATGTCGTAATGTTGAAAGGAAATCTTCCAACTTCCAGACCCTAATTGTCCGAATCAATCATTTAGAACCCAACCCAAACGTGTCCGACCAAACTCCCAATGAACCCACAAACCAAAATATCTTGACCAGCTCTAAACCACAAAAACAAGAATAAATATCATCGTTTTTTGTCACAATGTCTCTCCAACTTCATGCAAGTCTTTTTCCCGAACACATGGTGTGCATGAAAATCTTCATCATTATTAAAGGCCCCTTCATAATCAATGGGGTAGCCTACCAACAGTTCTTTCTTCTTTCCATGTATAGGATAGATCTTTGTTGAAAACAACATACTAATTTTACTTCTTAATTTTATTTTTATTAATAATATTCTATTTGAAATTATTAGAGCTCCGCCGAAGGTACTCCGCATATTATCTTCGCACCTCAGAGTTTTCAGGAAATTCCACTGTAATTAGGATTTCGAAAGAGCATCTTTGGAAGAATGACCGTCGAGACGTTCCTTTTACAATTTGGTTCAGTTAAAATTAGAATTTTGTAAAAACGTTCGCTTCGAGTAATTTGGGACTCGAATTTAAAAAACAGTAAAATTGGTTCGTGAAGTCGTCACCAATCTTTGA